ATGACAGTCCCCCCCCCCCCCCCCCCCCCCTCATCAGTCGTTCTGGATTCATTCATCTTCCTCTGGAACACGTCTCGGCTGCAGGTGATAAAACATTTTACATTTCTGTTGATTATCACTGAATTCAGTGTTGTGTTAATAATAGCATTATAGAATAGCAAAAAGGAATTTACAAATCAGTTTTCATGTTCCCCAATGTGATCAATGAATCTCACTAATAAATACAGAAATCTCACCTTAGCTTTGCCACAGTTTCTGATCTTGTTGCCTTGAGAGAAAATAAGAGATTTTTAGTTTCTAAGCCATAAAATAGCCACACTTTTCATAAATGTGACTAAAATAACCTTTATAGCGCAGAAATATTTGAGCCTCATGACAACAAACAAAAGTTTGTCATGCTTTTTTTCACCAAATAAAGTTTTTATATCCACATAAAGAGATAGGCTCATTTACACACACACTTAAATACAACCTTGTTACACTTTAACTGGTATGACTCTATTTTAAAGCTCAAATATACAAATCAAATACAAATGTAGTTCACACAAGCATTTATGTATCACTGGTAACTTACCAAGCAGCAGAGCAAAGGCAAAGAAGGAAACCACCCCTGCAAAGATCAGACCTCCAACACGCAATGTGTGGTAGTCTAAAGGTTCAAACAGAACAAAGTTTGGATTTTCAAGGTTATCTTGTTTTTATTTAAATGTTCAGCTATTCTCCCTCAAACCTTTATGTAAGTAAATATAAGTAAATTGTATTTATAAGCACTTATCACAGACATAGAATCACAAAGTGCTTCATTCACATAGATCAAAAGAAAGTAAAACAAAGTCTTGAAATCATAATGGCCTCAAAACAGAAATAGATTAATATCAGAAAAAATTAAGTCAGAAAATTATAAAATTTCATAAACAGATAAAAGATTTTTAAAAAATTGTTACAAATAAGAAAATAAAAGGTTTAGGTAAAAGCAGCTTTAAATAAAAGGGTCTTCAGCTGTTTTTTAAAAGTGTCCAGACTGTCAATGCTACCTAAGGATAAAGGAAGATCATTCCAAGGTCGGGGTGCAACAGTCTGGAAGGAGTGATCACCTTGACTTTTATATCTGGTCTTTGGAACATCTGGAAGGTTCTGGTGGGTGGACCTGAAGGCTCGGGTTGGAGCAAAAGGCTTTAACAGTTCAGTAATATAGGGAGGAGCTTGACCATGTAGAGCGGGGGTGTCAAACATGCGGCCCGCGGGCCGGATCCGGCCCGCAAGCGGGTTAAATCCGGCCCGCGAGATGGTTGTGTAAACTTTATTTTCATACTTTAGAATGTAGAGTGAAAATGAACTTATCTTTGTGAGCAAGTTTTCTCTGTAATGAGTATAAATAAAACAAAGCTGCGCTCAAGGCTCACACAAGAACTTGAATCACATCCTGAAGTTGGCCGCCACTCAGGATGTGACTTCTGATATTGATGTGCTGGTGAAAGCTAAAAGATGTTAGGTAAAATTAGTCAAATATACTTTAAGTGCTGCATGAAACTGATCTAGCCATGTGATCTGTAAGCTCTTTGAATCACTAAGGAATGTTTTATTTATTGATTGATTTTTTATTTTATTTTTTCAAATTTTCAAGTACACTTCACGTGTTGTACTTGTACTATTTTGGATACACTGTCCTCAGGCTCCAGCCTTGTTTTATATTGATTGTATTAAAACAAAGAAAACAATCTGAAGTTGTTTTTAATTTACTGGTCTGGCCCACTTGGGACTAGATTTCTCGCAATGTGGCCCCTGGGCTAAAATGAGTTTGACACCCCTGATGTAGAGCATTGAAAGTTATAATCAGGATTCTAAAATGAACTCTAAAGGTAACGGGTAACCAGTGCAGATACATCAGAATAGGACTGATGTGAGCTCTTCTGTTTGCTCCAGTTAGGAGCCTCGCTGCAGAGTTCTGGACCAACTGAAGTGCTTTTATGTTAAAACATGTGAAAAGTGTGTTACAGTAATCTAGACGGGAGGAGATAAACGCATGGATAACCATTTCAAGTTCATGTTTTGACTCAAACCTTTGCGGTTTGGAGATATTTCTTAAGTGATAAACAGTTTTGAACTAATGTTTCTGAGTGACCTTCAAAAGACATTGATGATTATGCTGATTTGTTTATCTTTTTTAGTAATGTTTACTTTCTGCAGTTTTTCTACACATCATTTTTCATTTTAATGGTAGGCCAAAAATAAAGATAATCATCCTTTTCATATTTTTTCTGAAAACATAACTTACCATAAACAAAGTCTGCATCCAAGTCGTTTTGCACGTCTGAGAAGACAAAAAGAAATGAAAAGGACAGAAATGTGCCGCAAACTGATGCTGCAACATATGGACACATTTATATTGATTTCACCTTCTCTTATAGTCAAAATAACTAATCTGCACTGGAAAGTTTTTGATGGAGTAAAATAAAAGTCTAATATTGTGTCTGTTGGGAGAGTTTCCCATCTCCAGTGAATCATTTTCTAACCCTTTCTACCTCCACACGAGCGTCAGTGTCCTCTGTTTGTATCACAGGGATAAATACTGTAGTAATAGTAATAATAGTAGTTGTAATAGTGATAGCATTAGCATTAGTATTCGCCATGCTGTTTTTGTTGCCACATATGGGGCGTTGAAGGGCTAGAATCTGAAACTGACACCTTCATGCTCAGGCTTCTAAAGGAGATTTTAAATCATGTCAAAGTGAATTTTAACAAGATCTGTTTTTCTAAACATGCAGGGTTTGTCTAAAAATGTGATGTTTGTTTTCTAATTAAAAATAAAAGAAAGACAAAAGATTAAAATGCTTTCTTGCACACATTCCATGCCCCAGAGGTGTGTTTGGTGGACTATGAGCAGTGGACCGTACCGTTAGGGGAATTCATGCTGCCTCGTCCCTTTCTGAGTTCAGACGACAAAACTAAACAGAAAAAAGGCAATAAATGAACTCAAGCAAGAAAAATAAAATCCAGAAAAAAATCCATCAACATTTGAGTGATTAAACTACGTAACAGCTATTCACCATCAGGTTTGATTTCTGAAAGTGGAGCTCTGATGTCAGAATCATCTCCTCTTTCAATAAAAGGTTCATTTATTTCAGCTTATTTGTTTTAGATGAGAGCGCGTTGAAAGGCTAGAAACTCTACACCGCATACATGTCAGACAAACCGCCTCATTAGGTCACTCACTGGAGTTCCAATGTGACACTTTCAAGAGGCTTGTATTGATCTCTTCTCCTCCACACACACACACACACACACACACACACACACACACACACACACACACACACACACACACACACACACACACACACACACACACACACACACACACACACACACACACACACACACTCACACTCACACTTCTCATTTGATCTACATCTTCTGACCTATAATCATTAACTCAAACACTTTAACAGACTAAAAGTGTTTCTTGGATGTCTCCATTTTGGTCAGTTTTGATTCCGATTCATGGACTTCAGTTCATTCCTGTACTATGTCTTGGACTTTCCGTGCACTGCTGAGCACAAGGACATGGCGGGTGGTTACTCATTAAAGCATTAAAACTCCGATATTCATTAACATTGAACCTTGGGCGGTTTGATAGAGGTTATAGATGGAGCAGAGACAAGCAGAGTGGGATGTGTGTGCTGATATGTGATCGCTTTAGGAAACAGCCCTGAGATCCTGCACCGCAACAAGCTCACTTTTTATCCAGAGTAACATTTTCTAACACATAGCAAAGAAAAACTAAATGATAGTTCCTATCTTTAAAAGTAACGCTCAATCAATGTCGGTCAATATTTTACCTGCTGCACACATATCTTTGAACAACCTCAGTTCTGATTAGAAATATGAGCAAATAGTAAAAATCAGGTCTGCTTCAAAGTTATCTATGAATTCTAATTTGAAACATAAAAATTCTGATGGATTTTTTTTTTTTTTTTTTACTTTTTCTGGTTATTCCAACAGAGAAATTATCAGATTCCATCCAGAAAGAAAGTTGCTGGGAATTCTCAAACCCTAACCTGTTTCTGCTGCTGCTTCTTCCACAGAACTAAGCTTTAATACCTTAAGCAGGAACTGATAAGAGTTATTCTAAAGCAGCAGAAATACTTTGGAACTTGTCCGCCTTTAGCTATTAGCTGAGCTACCTGATCAGAACTAATCTCTGCTTCGCCAAACTCAGGTTGTTCAAAGCATCAATAACAGGTAAGATTAGCACACTAATGAAGACCTGAACTGTTGCTTTAAATGTTTGGATAATAGAGCTGCATCATAATACATTTATTTTCACAAAAAATTAAACAACTGACTTGAAATCATACTGTTACAATTCAGGATCGTTTTTAACACATTTTGCAGATGATACTATTTCTCTGTTGGAAGGTTTCATTCAAATCTGATCAGAGCAGTTGAAGTGAAAACTCACCTGAGCTGTTGAAGGCTGTGGCTCTGTGAAGGTGAACTGGTGGTCCGGTCTGCACCTACATTCCTACCTCAGAGATCCACCTCCACACACACACACACACACACACACACACACACACACACACACACACACACACACACACACACACACACACACACACACACACACACACACAGACACACACACACACACACACACACACACACACACACACACACACACATTCCCCACATCTCCAGGTCTCCTTCAGTCCCACCACTCAGTCACACATTTACAGAATCATAAAGGTAATGCCAGCCAACCTTTGGAGTCATAGCAGAAAAAGCAGCAGCATCTGACGCTCTCTGCTGGTGAGGAAGCTGTTCTCTTCCCCGAGTGGCTGCGTTACAACTTTCACCAACACTGACAGACAAACCAGATTGATTTCTAGTGTTTCTGAAGAGCTGCTTGTGGAACAAACGTCTCCGTCATAGGAGCCTCTTGTGGAGAAAAAGCAGATTCTGTTCTGAAATATGTCTGAATGAATAAAGACGATAGTCTATTTAAACATACTTTTATTTATTTATGCCAAAAGCACAACAGGTTGCTACAAAAAGGCTTCATGAGCAGCATTAAAGTAGCATGTACCACTGTTATCTCTGAAACCGAGACTTCAACCTATGATTTAATTTATGAGCTACTTTTCTATTAAAGGTTTAAATTATTACAAACTTAGCAGTCGCAGCCCGTCTTTTCTTTATGCATCATAAATAAAAGCATTAAACAATTAAAATAAAAGAAATTGCAACACTTCACAATAAGGGTCACTTTAATAATGTTACTTGGTGCATTATTAACCCTTCCACATTCCTCTCAGGTGACCTCGCCAGGACGGGGGTGGTTAAGCAGGGTTTAAAGTGTATGCCTTGACAGGGGTGAAGTGATGCACCCCTTAAAAATATTAAAATAAAAACACACCAGAGGTCCAACTGACCCCATTAACAAGTGTGTGAGGGTTAAACATTAATAAACGATTACATAAAGTGTTAACAACTGCTTTTATGCATTACATACACACACTCACGACAAGCCCACAAAGAGCTTCATATTTATGTGCACTCAAACACACCACTCAAACATTATTAAATGCATTATTACAGTTTTTTACAGACGTTAGGACCCATTTCTCAATACTAATGTCACTTTTGCTAGACACTTCACACAGTTCCCCTAACTGAGTTTCAGCTTGGCAAAATAGTTCATTTCACATTCAAAATGCACTACAACCACCCAAACACTTCATTCACGTTGCAAATAAACACATTCCTCCAGAACATTAGCAAAGGCTGACAGCCGACAAACACACTTTGTCACCCACAAAACAAAGACCTAAAAAACACAAACAACATGTAGCATTACATTTTCTTGTGTAAAACAAGGACACGGCTCTGTTCATACTTCCAATAGATGTTACTGGAATGAATCAGACATGATGCAGAATTAGTCAATATTTCATGTTGTTCATTTATTTTTAATGGTATTTGTTTTTGCACTAAGTACTGCAAAAACACGACATCCACTGATACAGATTCAATATGCTAATCTTCTCGGTCTTCTCCATTTGGCCACAGGTTCTCATCCACATCACATCTTATGTCATCTAGGACAATACACCTAGGAAAGAATCTTCTGGCATGCCTGATCCATCCCTGGCAATCTACTGCTGATGTGTCCAGACATCCAGCATACATTGCATCCAGAAGGGACATTTGATCATGTGGATGATGGTCGTACACCTTCCACCGCCATGAGGCAAAGAATTCCTCTATGGGGTTGAGGAATGGAGAGTAAGGTGGGAGGAAAAGTGACTCCACTCTGGGATGGGCCACAAACCACTCTGTGACTGCATGGGAGTGGTGAAATGCCACATTGTCCCATACAATTACATATGTTGGCGTTGACTACTTTTATAATGACATTGAAAGTGTAACACCTGTGCAGCTGTTCATCTACAATTAGAGTCAGCTGTGGCTGGTGAAACTGCATTTATGTTTCACTAACATATTGCTGTTGGATTTTGCTGTCATATTCAGTTTTGCAGTGCATTATTGTTTTGAACACAAGTTTTACAGTTTTGTGAACAGTATGTAAGCAAGTGCAACATGTCCTGTTAGTACAATGAGTTTTGGCAGTTGTTGTGTCTGAGTGAGAAGGGACTTCATGACATTTGAGAGATGTAGTCACTCATTGCATTTTGTGCCAAAGCAATGATAATTGATCCTCAGTTTGGCCCACACAGACTTCTGTTGTGCACACTGTATGAAGAGTTTTGCAAATGTGACCTAAGTATTGAGAAATGGGTCCTAACGTCTGTAAAAAAAACTGTAAGCAGTTAACTAATGTCTATCACTGAATCTAAGGGTCCAAAATTCATTCAGTAATGAGTAATTATCATTAAGTGATGTTTAGGCATCCATTAAGCATTTAAAAAGTGTTTATAAATGAAAAAATGTTAAGACTTTACAATAAGGGTCAAAGAAGCTTAGTACTGCATTAACTAAGGTTCAGTAATAGACATTAGGTAACTGCTTAATAATTCATTAAATAATGTTTAGTAATGCTATGTAATGCATAAAAGCAGTTGTTAACACTTTTTTATGGTTTATTACTGCTTAATAATGCACTAAGAAATGTTAATAAAGGGACCCTTTCTGTAAAGTGTTACCAAGAAATATAACCCCAGCTTTACAGATTTGCACTGGGGAAGCTAATCATAGCCTGCTGGAGACCGATTAATCCTGACGGATGCAGTGACACAACAGCAGGGTGGATGCGTGGAGAAGAAGGCAGTGAGAGAACTGATTGGGGACCTCTCTCCACTTCAGGTGGGACAAATCTGCAGTGAAGGAGTCCTTGCTGGTTCCTGCTAATCACTCAAGCTCACTCAGGGAACTTTTAGGTTGTCTCAAGATAAGGCTCATCTCATCTACACACACACACACACATACACACACTCACGACAAGCCCACACAAAGAGCTACGTATTTATGTGCACTCAAACACACCACTCAAACAGAAGCATCACTATACAACTATAGGAGTCACATGTAAAGTATGTGTGTTTAAATAGAGAATGTATGCATATTTCTTATAATATATACATATATATATAAATAATATTTCTTATAATCTGACAAACACCATCGTGGACAAAACAAGAAACATTTACAAACCCTGAAAATGCAACAATAAACATCTCTTAAGGAGTTTCAAGACAATCTTGTGTCCACGATGCTGCAGGCTGAGACAACATAAGACCATCACAGAAAGGCACAGAAATGGACTAGAGCACTGAGGACCAGCAAACAGCAACTGGCACAAGATCTATTTACAACTCTTCAATATATTCCTCCGATTTGACCCCATGGTCTAGCCAGTTATAATAAGGATTTGTGTTGTTGATAAAAATCATATTTCCTAAAGGTGCTGTTCCGTCGTCTCACTTCTCTGCTGGAGCCTCTTTAGCAGCTGCTGCTGCAGCTGAAACAGGTCAAGAGCACTGATGTTAGAAACAATAGAAGTCAGTAAATTCAAAAAGATTTTATTCTGTTCTTATTTATGTTCCTTTTGATCTCATTTTTACACGAAGCAGTTCTGTGCAATAAAATACCGGTGCTCTGTAGCATTTCTTTAAGGACAACACAGAATCAAACTTCCTTTTGCAGAAAGTCCTCCTCCTTTCCCTTATTTCTGAAAGGTAAAATATTTTTGTAATAATTTATTTAGCATATTTTCCCTTTTCTCATCATCAAATGTGTAACTTGAGCTGACTGAACGTTTTAATGCTCATTAGTAAAGAATATCTAGTGGTGTTATCTCCACTGTGTGTTTTAGTAACACTTGAGTGGCTGAATCCCTCAAGCAGCAGGTAACTGTGGCCATGATGAGGTCTGGCTGTGCGCACTGATTAATGTGTTCAAGTTCTTTACATGTTTTCTTCTGTGGGAGCCTGCCACACACACTGTTACCGCTTCTGGCTGCAGAGAACTATCTGACTAGAATCTGTTTGTCAAAGGCTGGCATGTTCCAAAGCAGAGCCGATGGAAATCATTGGCGAAAGGTCAGCACTAATATTATATTTGTTACTGTGAGCTGATGAGCAACGACAAACTAAACTATGGATTTGTGTTGATGAGAGGTGAGAGCTAACATACTCATCTTACCCTTGGGGACAATCACGTTCTCCTCTTGTGCTTCCTCATCTTTGGGGTCCCTGTGGAGAGAACCCACGTGTTGTCATGGTAACCCAACGATGTATCAAAAAAAAGATCTGTATAATAATATCTTCTTCAGTCAGAGAAACCCACTGGTTCACCTGGACTCTTTGTTCATGTTGCAGTGACATCGCCGACCTACGACCACAAAATGAACGAGTGCAAAGAGATCAGACTGAGTAGAAGTGTGGCCATGAGAATAAAGATGATAAGTGAAAATGAGAAAAAACGCAGATAGATTTTAGAGGTTTACTCACTGAGGATGAGAAGGATTCCCAATGTGAAGAGAATAACAGCCAAGGACAGACCCCCATATCTCAAACTCTTATAGTCTGTGAATAAGAAACACAAAATCAGCTTCTTGGTCTGTAAACTTGCTGGTTTATTTATTTATTATTTTTTTCAGTTTGACTGTATTCTGATGATTCAGTGTTTTCTCCCATGAACGTACCATAAAGGAAAGGATTTTCACCATTGGCCTTGCCTTCTGTGAATGAACAGGACAAAATTAAAAATGAAAACACATTTTCTGCAGAGTTCCTGGTTTACTCTTCTGCTTTTTGTGGCTAAAGGCTAAATACATTTTTATTATGCATTTAAAAAGTACTACTTAAATAAGGTTCTCCTTTTCTATTTTATGAAATTATAGTAAGGCAAACAACATAACGTGGAGATTAAACCAACTGGTGAGTGTTTTTAAGTGGAAATGCAGCTTGATTCTGGCTTTAAAATGCTATTTTGATTTAAACCTTTAACCCCCCAAAATGTGGTTATTTGTTCTTATGGTTTTATAAAACTGAAGTAGCAGTTTTGTCATTCCATAGTTAATCAACACACTTTCTTAAAACTTATATGAATACAGATCTTGTTCTAGTTTGGAATGATCCTTATTGCACACGACTGTTTAGTGTAGAGCAGCGATCCGTCAAGGGTTGGTCCAGAAAGCAGTTCACCCATCAGGCTTAGCCCTGTTAGTGGATTCAAGAGGGTCACTTACCCTTTACAGCTAGGACGTACCAGTTTGTTGAAGAGGTGAGTGTCATAGGGAATAAACAAGATAAAACTTAGCAAGAACATAAAAATCGAACTATTTAAAGAAAGTCAAATGATTACTTTTAGTGAAACTAAGTGAAAGTGTCCCAACAGACAAGTTATATATTTTTTGTGGTGTGAGCATTTGAACATCTTATAGGTAATCTTAGTCTGTAAAGAGGGACTACACACACAGGCGCTCATACATGGACACACACACACACACACACACACACACACACACACACACACACACACACACACACACACGCACGCACATGCGCGCACACACACACACATACAAACCTTTTGTTGAGGGTTGAACCCTCAGTTTTCTCTTTCTGCCTTAACACTGCCTCCCCTTGGACAAATTGAGCATGTGCAGGAGTGTGTGTGTGTGTGTGTGTGTGTGTGTGTGTGTGTGTGTGTGTGTGTGTGTGTGTGTGTGTGTGTGTGTGTGTGTGTGTGTGTGTGTGTGTGTGTGTGTGTGTGTGTGTGTGTGTGTGTGTGAATAATATATTAACTTACCAGCAACACATCCTGGGACTGAAATGAAGATGACCAAAACAGTTTCCACAAAAACTGTTGACACAGAGCAACAAACGGTAGAGAATAAGGCATAAAAAATATTGTTAAAGAAAATCAACAAGAGAGTCAGAACAAACTACTGCAACATATATATATATATATATATATATATATGCTGTGTGTGTGCGTATGTGTGTGTGACTCGTAGCTGTATTAGCTCAAAAGGGTACTTCAACTAAATACTGAGAAAAGGGTCTAAATACATAGGAGCATGTGATATTACAGATTCTTTATTCAAATATATCTGCGTACAACTCTAAAACTTTGTGTTTTCTGTTAATATGGGGTACTGTGTGTACAAAAATGAGGAAAATATAAATTTTCATTCTTTTCTGTTTACCTGCACCAACACACCTGGTTTGAAATAAATGGGTGTCTGAAGAACTTAAGAACATGCTTAAGCGGTGGTGTAAGCAATATTGAAGAAGGGAAAGAAGGGAAAATAAATTAAAAGGCAGGACAGTGACCTTCCCGGAGCAGAATTGAGTAGCCCGCTTTCAAGAGTAATTTATGTTTTGCTGAGATTTCCCTTTTTCCTAAATACTACCTCCCCCTGGACAATTTGAGCATGTGCAGGCATGTGTGTTTGATGGTTAAGGCACACTTACCAGCAACACATCCCATGAATGCATAGGGGAAGAGCAAAGCAGTTTCCATGGCAACTGTCGACACAGAAAAAAGGTACAGGATGAGACATGATATAATTAACGAGAGAGATAGGACACTCTAATGTGATTGTCCATATGTGCCTCTGTCTAACCCTCTGGGATAGAAAGAATGACAAGGCACAAAACTATTGTTTATTAATGCTCCACACTGATATGAACCAGAGAACTTACCCATTACTGGCTCTGCCACAAACTCTGGAGTCTAACGGATGTAAGAATAAGCTTTTGGGTGGAGTTTCTGTCTTGTATAACGATCCATGTTCCCGTTTTCCTGGCAGTTCACACAACCTTGGCCTACTTTCATGTGGGCTGTTCACACACAAAACAAACACGTCTTCCTAAAATCTAAAAAACTCTTTTTATTACCCACAAAACACTCAAATTGAATCCATTTTGTTTGCTACCACAAAGACAAAATAATGACTAACATGTACAATTTTTTAAAGCTCATGACAAACACAATAGAGGACACCCCTTATGTCCTAAATTCAGTCTATAGCTACAATGTAAGTGTCAATAGCTTGGTTTTTTTTATGACTTTATCAGAAACATGCATTTCTTTCCATCTTTGAGACTGATGGGTTGTGTGATTGCTCCCAGCCCATCTGTCTCTATCTGTATTCATCTTTCTCTTCCGTCTGTTCTCAGCTGCATCAGAGGTCCGTTACAGTCATTAACAGACATCCTGAATCCAGATTATCTGTAATCTCTAAATTGGTCCTTCATATACATAGTTTGAGCCTTGGGGACATTTCTGAAGTAAATAATTTTGTTGCATGTATAAAACTAAAAACATCCACCACCAAAATTGAACATAGAAATAATTGAATCTGCTTTTCAGTGTTGTGTTTAGCTGTTCTTTAAGCTTGCTGCCCTCTTCTTTACTTGAAAGTCCATCAAGTTTATTTGCAGCAGGAAGTTATTCTCTGAATCACACTGAATGCAGTTTAATGACATCAGAAAATGCACGTCACTGCACTTCCTGTACCATGACTGGATACAGGAAAACTTTATACTCCGGTCTGGAAGTCGTGTATCTAATACCCCAAGTTGTGAACAGACTTTCCTAGTTAATGAGCATCTTAGTTTAGCAGGATGTCATAGATCACAAGTCTGCATGTTGGAAAATCACTCCAAAGGTGTGCAAAGTGTTCCAGTCATACATCAGCATGGGAGCATGTGACAGATTTGGAATCTGGATACCAGTCCAAGGGCACTCTGTTAACTGGTTAGGAAAAAAACGACTAAAACTTTGAAATTAAAGAGCCATTTAGTTAAAGAAAATATGTTGCAAAGCAACCAGTAATTATAGACTGCTATTATATCCCATAAACTGCCCATCTATTTTTGAGTTCACTGGATATTTATGTGGTTAGATTGAAAAATAATAACATGTTTAAAAGCATTTTTTCCACTTTTCTTGTAGCTTAGTTTTTATTTATTTATTTATTTAGATTTTTGGTTTTAGCCTCTTTTTGGTTGATCACAAAACAAGAATGCTTAAAAAATAAAATAAAAAACGTGAACATCTGATGTATTGCTTAAGATTCAGTGTCAAATGTTCTGAAAATAATGAATGTGTGGGCCAGTATTGTTTAATAAACTATTTGTAGGATTTGGATGACTGTTGCAAGCAGCACAGTTTATGATTTAAAGACGTTTCACGGTCTAAGTATTTGTGTCTGCGTGCTTGCGCGTATTATGGCAACTTTGAGGTCACCTTCTCACCTTCTAATCATTCTTGAAATCTGTTGTTCACCTATAATCAGTTTTGCCTCAAGTGAGTGGGTGAGATAACTTGTTTCAGGGTGGAAATGAGTAACTTTCCACTAAATGTGACGAACAAAGGACATCTGAGTGAGGAGTCGGTAGAACACCGTCTGGTGGGGGTAGAGGTGAAGGGCATGCAGGGAGGTGATGTCTGAGGAGAGAACAGGCTGTTGCACAAAAGGGAAAATGAATTCCTCTAAAACACAACATATGGGAATGTTACAAGGCAATGTGTATCGAAGGAGAAGAGGAAAGAGAAATAAAAGTGTAGCAAACTTTTCGGTAACGCTTTCTTTTGCTGTCCCCTAATTACTACTTACATGGTAATTACATAGTAAGTTAACATCTATTATTGTGTAATTAAAGTGTATAATTGTAATAAAGTGTAATAATTGTGTAAAGCAGTGTTTACTAGGAATGATTAATAAAAATAAAAACTAGAACTGAACCTGAGTAACATGGTAATAACTGTTTAAGAACTTAGAAACAATAACACACTTTCACTTACTATGTAATTACCATCACCTGATGGCACCATCATTGGAGACCTTGGAGGGGGTGCTGGAAAGAACTCCTTCTGGTGACTCCCTCATTCTGCTGGGGGACTTAAACGCTCACGTGAGCAACAACAGTGAGACCTGGAGAGCTGTGGTTGGGAGGAATGGCCCCCCTGATTTGAATTTGAGTGGTGTTTTGTTATTGGACTTCTATGCCAGTCATGATTGTCCATAATGAACACCATGTTCAGACATAAAGGTGTCCATTTGTGCTCTTGGCACCAGGATATCTTAGGCCGCAGTTCGATGATCGACTTTGTTGTTGTTTCATCTGACCTGCGGCCACATGTCTTGGACACTCGGGTGAAGAGAGGGGCGGAGCTGTCAACTGACCACTACCTGGTGGTGAGTTGGCTCAGATGGTGGGGGAGGATGCCGGTCAGACCAGGCAGGCCCAAAAACATTGCAAGGGTCTGCTGGGAACATCTGGCAGAGTCTCCTGTCAGAAGGAGCTTCAATTCCCACCTCCGACAGAACTTCCAGAATGTTCCGGGGGAGGCGGGGGACATTGAGTCTGAATGGCCCCTGTTCTGTGCCTCCATTGTTGACGCGGCCGACCGGAGCTGTGGTCGCAGGATCGTCAGTGCCTGTTGTGGTGGCAACCCCCAAATCTACTGGTTGACACCAGCAGTTAGGGATGCTGTCAAGCTGAAGAAAGAGTCCTATCAGGTATTTTTGGCCTGTGGGACTCCAGAGGCAGCTGACGGGTACCGGCATTCCAAGCGGAACAAGGCTCGGGTGGTCGCCAAGGAAAAAACCTGGGCATGGGAGGAGTTCCGTGAGACCATGGAGCAAGACTTCCGTACGGGTTCGAGGAGATTCTGGTCCACCAACCGGTGCCATCGGGGGGGGGGGGGGGGGGGGGGGGGGGGGCAGTGCTCTACCAACACTATCTATAGTGGGGGGTGTGCTGCTGACCTCTAGTCAGGACATTGTGGATTGGTGGGCAGAATACTTTGAAGACCTCCTCAATCCCACTGACATGTCTTCAAGTGAAGGAGCAGAGTCTGGGGACTTTGAGTTGGCCTCTCAAATCTCTGGTGCTGAGATCACTGAGGTCATTAAAAAGCTCCTCTGTGGCAAGGCTCCAGGGGTGGATGAGATCCACCCAGAGTTTCTTAAGGCTCTGGATGTTGTGGGGCTGTGTTGGCTAACGCGGCTCTGCAATATCGCGTGGGCATCAAGGGCAGTCCCACTGGACTGGCAGCCCGGGGTGGTGGTCCCCTTATTTAAAAAGGGGGACTGCAGGGTGTGTTCCAACTACAGGGGGATCACACTCCTGAGCCTTCCCGGCAAGGTCTATTCAGGGGTTCTGGAGAGGAGGGTCTGTTGGATTGTTGAACCTCAGATTCAGGAGGAGCAATGTGGTTTTTGTCCTGGCCATGGAACACTGGACCAACTCTATAAGTTTAGGGAGATCCTGGAGGGTGCGTGGGAATTTGCCCAACCAATCTACATGTGTTTTGTGGATTTGGAGAATGCGTTTGACCGCGTCACTCGAGGTGCCCTGTGGGGGGTACTCCGGGAGTGTGGGGTACCAGGCCATCTGATACGGGCTGTTAGGTCCCTGTATGACCGGTGTCAGAGCTTGGTCCGCATTGCCGGCAGTAAGTCGGGCTCGTTCCCAGTGAGAGTTGGACTCTGTCAAGGCTGCCCTTTGTCACCGATTCTGTTCATAACCTTTATGGACAGGATTTCTAGGCGCAGCCAAGGTGAGGAGGGCATCCGTTTTGGTGGCATGAGGATCAGGTCTCTGCTTTTTGCAGATGATGTGGTCCTGTTGGCTTCATCAGAACGTGATCTTCAGCTTTCGCTGGAGTGGTTTGCAGCCGAGTGTGAAACAGCTGGGATGAGAATCAGCTCCTCTAAATCTGAGACCATGGTCTTGATTCAGAAAAGGGTGCCTTCTCCGGGTCAGGGATGAGGTCCTGCCCCAAGTGGAGGAGTTTAAGTATCTTGGGGTCTTGTTCACGAGTGATGGAAAACTGGAGCGTGAGATCAATAGGCGGATTGGTGCTGCATCTGCAGTCATGCGGGCGTTGAACTGGTCTGTCATGGTGAAGAGAGAGCTGAATCAGAAGGCAAAGCTCTCGATTTACCGGTCGATCTACGTTCCTACCCTCACCTATGGTCATGAGCTTTGGGTAATGACTGAAAGAACGAGATCGCGGATACAAGTGGCCAAAATGAGTTTTCTCCGAAGAGTGGCTGGGCTCTCCCTTAGAGATAGGGTGAGAAACTCGGTCATTCGGGAGGGTCTCGGAGCAGACCTGCTGCTCCTCTACATCGAGAGGAGCCAGTTGAGGTGGCTTGGGAATCTGGTCAGGATGCCTCCTGGACGCCTCCCTAGTGACATTTTCCGGGCACGTCCAACTGGGAGGAGACCTAAAGGTTGACCCAGGACACGTGGAGGGACTATGTCTCTCACCTGGCCAGGGAACGCCTTGGGATTCCCCCGGAGGAGCTGGCCCAAGTGGCTGGGGAGAGGGAAGTCTGGGCCTCTCGCCTCAGGCTGCTGCCCCCGCGACCCGACTCTGGATGAGTGGATGAAAATGGATGGATGGATGGATGGATGGATGGATGGATGGATGGATGGATGGATGGATGGATGGATGGATGGATGGATGGAATTACCATGTAAGTACTTAGTAAATAGGGAACAGTAAAAGGAAGCATAATCAAGTTTTCAAATGATGTGTTAAGTGAAGAGTTAAAATATGGCACTCCAAAAACAGTATATTGTACCCTGTACATGGTTTATAAACTTAAAAGTGTACTACAAAGCACAACAGCTAAAATAATTCATTATAACTGTCTCAGTCAGGAATACTCTACGTCAGCAGCAGAATGTAGGACAGCTAAATGGGTCACACAGAAGGTCTTCAGACAACCTGGCCTCATCATCACAATTATATTGATGTTGCATCTCCATGACGATGTGCGTCGTTTCATGGTCCCCGGTTATCTCCATGGAAACTGTTTCCCGGTAAAAAAAAAATGGGGCACTGAACGAGAATCGGGAATCTTGTGTCAAAACAAGGACAATAAACAAACAGAGAGCTCCTCCGTGAACGTGATCGTGAAGGGGTGTGGCGCGCGCGCGCCATCAAAGTCAGTTCATTGCAGAAAGTCCTCCTCCGGGCATTTATCTATCCAAAACTCTTATTACCCCATCTATCACAGTCTGTCAGCACCAAGTCTTATTTTTTGTGACACAATCCGGCCAGCGCGCGACGTGAACGCATTAATCAACTTGTGCGTCTTTCAACCTGTAGATCATATGGCACAGAACGCCTCCAGTGTTCTCTCCTTTCAAATAATTGTCTAAATTAATGTCACACGACGCTGGATGTTTGATGTCAAACTTAACATGATCACAAGTTTGCACGCGCGTTTTGCGCATCGCTATCAGCGCGAGCAGACACGCCCTCTTGTTATAGCGTGTTGGATTTGTAAACAACATTAATAGCGTTCACCGTGGGTTATTTAAACCGCTCACATGTGGCAGGAAGTCATTTATACAAAAATCTACAATTATTAAATAAAACGTTTTATTTTTGTTGTTTATGCACACGATCAGCACTGAAATCCCTTCAAACGAAACCCTGTTTGTTTTGTTTTTTCCACTTAGTCACAATCAGTGAAATCAAACATAAGCTTATCAACTTACCTGTTGTGCACGCTTATCTTTGTCTCATAGAAAAAGTGCAAATCATAAAAAGAATAAAGGCTCAATGGTCGTTGCAGATTGTGTTACTTTGTTTTAATCCGTCAGTAGAAGCAAGCTACAGAATCTAAAGCAATTCTGGGCGGAAAAAATGTAGAGAAGCAACCTCAGTGTGAATTCTCTCTCTCTCTCTCTCTCTCTCTCTCTCTCTCTCTCTCTCTCTCTCTCTCTCTCTCTCTCTCTCTCTCACAGTAGTCACCAGTTGCTTCCTTAATGCTTGTTTTTATTTGTTTATGATTGTTCTGATTGTTCATACAGCACAGAGAATTGATTGAAAAGGCACATAAATAAGACAAAAATTACAGTAAGAAATTCTGAAAAGAAACAAAAATCGTAAACATTTTATTTTATGGTTCCTACTGATTTCCTTATTAGGGTAAACATCAGACAATATTAAATGGATGTAGCCCTGAGACAAACACCCTCAAATATTTATGTTATTGTATGTATAAGATGGTCATTTTCCAAAAAAAAAAGACCAAATCTCACTAAAAGTGACTCCGTGTGCAAATTCTGGAATTTAAATCAATTTCATAATAAGATGAATGAAACCCCTAAAAGACAGAGGATTAAAACACAACACTGGAATCAGTGCATTGAAAAACACATTCAAGTGTTTTGCCTTTTATATTATGAGAGTGCAGACTTGAGTTGTGGGCATGGATTTTTAAGAGGCATCACGGTTTCTCCTCCTGCAGGAAAGAAAAGGAGAGTCATGTGGTAAAACTTGTATCATCAAAAAATCAAACGTTTTAGTTTTCATACCTGCATGCTGCTATAGATCCAAGGCAAAACACTGCTGACTTTGGTGTAAATGCCAGGCTTGTTTTGTTGTCCACAACCAGCTCCCCAGCTGGTGAGCCCTACCAGGTACCAGAGGCTTCCTCCCTGACACACCAGCGGCCCACCACTGTCACCCTACATTACACAAATAACTTTATGTTGAACTAAAAAAAAACAAATTTGACAGAAAATGTGTTGATTGATGTCTGCTTATTCTGCTTACCTGACAGGAGTCTTTGCCTCCCTCCAGTTTTCCAGCACAGAGCATGTACCTGGTCACTGCTCCATTATACATACTCGGGCTGTTACATGTAGTCATGCCAATGATGTCCACAGACACTTCCATGAGGTTATTGGAGGGAGTCGCTATGGGAAAATTATTCATAGTCACATTTCATTTAATAGTCACAAAGTAAAATAGTAATTTTCCTAAAATCAGTGTTTCTGGTAAACACCAGGCTATTGTTATTTTCAATTAGAGTGTAAAAGAAACAACCAGCCAGTTTTTGTGAGTTTTAAAACGTTTTTCTTTCTAACTTTTTTGTATTTTTATGCAAACAGGAGCAGGTGATTTTTTTTATGTGGTGTGTTTTTACTCCTGTTGTCCTTTCTACAGTAGGATGCAAATGTTTGGTCAGCCTTGTTAATTTTCATAATTTTCCTGTATAAATTCAGGTAAATACATCACATAGCAGACACACACAGTGATGTTTGTGAAGTGACACAACGTTTATAGGTTTTATAGAAAGTGTGCAATAATTGCTTAAACATACGGTGCTTACATTTGGAAACTGTTGTCATTTTAGTGATTCCAAAACCTTTTAGAACAAATTATTGGAACTCTAAATTAGTTTGGTAAGCTCAGTGACCCTTGACCTCCATACACAGGTGAGTTCAGTTATGAGAAAGAGTATATAAGGCGGCAAATTGTAAATTTTCCTCCTCTTTGAGTTTTCTCTGAAGAGTGGCATCATGGTTTAGGGGAAGGGTACAGAAAGCTGTCTCCGATATTTCAGCTGTCTGTTTCCACAGTTAGGAACATACTGAGGAAATGCACTACCACAGGCACAGTTCAGATTAAGGTTTGAAGCTGCAGACCAAGAAAAATCTCAAATAAAGAGAGTTGAAGAATGGTGAGAACAGTCAGAGTCAACCTACAGACCAGCACAAAGACCTACAACATCATCTTGCCGCAGATGGAGTTTTTGTGGGTCGTTCAGCTAATTGGTGCACTTTACACAAGGAGATGCTGTATGCAAGAGTGATGCAGAGGAAGCCTTTTTTCGTCTACAGCACAAACAGAGCTGCTTGAGGCATGCTAAAGTACATTTAGACAAGTGCGCTTCATTTTGGAATAATGTGCTCTGTACTGATGAAACTAAAACTGAGTTATTTAGGCATAACAAGGGGTGTCATGGAGGAAAAATAACATAGCATTCCAAGAAAGACGCCTGCAGTAAAACATGGTGGTGGGTTCATCATGCTGTGGGGCTGGGTGGTCAGTGCAGGGACTGGGAATCTTGTTAAAGTTGAGAGATGCATGGATTCCACTCAATATCAGCAGATTCTGGAGACCAATGTCCAGGAATCAGTGACAAAGCTGAAGCTGCACCAGGGCTGGACCGTTCAACAAGACAACGACCCTAAACACTGCTAAATGTCTACTAAGGCATTCATGCAGAGGAACAAGTAGAAAGTTCTGGAATGGCCATCTCAGTCCCTAGACTTGAATATTATTGAAAATTAGAGGTGCGAGTTAAAGAGAGTTGTCCGTGCTCAGAAGCCATCAGACCTGAATGAACTAGAGATGTTTTGTGGAGAAGAATGGTCCAGAATACCTTCAACCAGAACCCAGACCCTCATTGGAGGCTGTAGAGGCTGTTTTTTCTGCAAAAGGAGGATCTACTGAATGTTGCACAAATGTATGCACCTGCCTAATTTTGTTTAAACAGTTATTGCACACTTTCTGCAAATCCTATAAACTTTGTTTTATGTGTCCAATCCTCAAATACCAGCACACGTGTCTCCTACATGATATATTTAACAGATTATTTTTATCATAACAATCAACAATTTATGCAGGAAAATCATAAAGGCTGCCTAAATGTTTGCATCCAACTGTGACACAAACAAATACAAAAAAACATTTTGTTAGCATTCTAATAGTGTTTGATGCTGTCAAAGTTTTGTTGATATTTGCAGCTAAATTCTCCAGCAAATTCAAAGGAAGATGAATTTATGTTGAAGCCATAAAAAAACTCAGGTTATAGGATCATGATCAGCAGGATCTGACAATGGTCTGATGAAGCAGGGAGCATATGGACAAGGAGAGTTGATTGGATACAGATTTGCTGATTACAACAAAGAGAAGGAGGTCATTTGTGTTGATATAGAAAACAACAATATTCAGAGAAAATACAGGTAGAAACTTAAAAAAAAATAACAACAAGAAATCATGTAAACTCAAAGCCAGAATTTCCCATTAAAATTAAAATAAAACTGAAAAAAAATGTATTCAAAACTAGGACAAAAACTTTACGTGCTTGTAGAATTTTTCCGTTGACTTGTTCAACATCCTTGATATATTCACATGTCTTTAAATAAGTCAGAAATTAGATTTAACAAAATAAATCACACTGATGAAAATTACACTCAACTCAAAAAGGATTTTCAGTTTCAAGAAGTGCAATCATGCAGCTGTATGTAAATCTGATAGAGTCGCTGGATAAATCATATATTTATGAGACGCAGGGGAACTATTAGGGATTTAGTGTATGCCACTTTGTCCCCACATTTAATAGACAGAGAGTATTTGTTCTTACTTGCGCCTTCATTAGTGATACCAAAGCCTGTGGTGAAGCAGCTGGTCCCATCTTTCAACTCCTGGCCTGTATTTGGCAGACAGGCTGGTTGAATTGTATCTATAAAAAAAAAAACATGTATTTAATGTCTGCAAATGCAAAGTCTATTTGCCTTCTAAGATCAAAAAATAATTAACACACGGGCACGCATGCAAATCTCTCTCTCACTCTCTGTCTGTCTGTCTGTCTGTCTGTCTGTCTGTCTGTCTGTCTGTCTCTCTTCTTCTGCCCGGTTATGTTCTTGTTGGGAAAGTGTTTAGATGATAAATCTGTTGTCTGTTATTGCAGCCAGTCCACTGTTGGCTGTCAGAGCTCGGTATGTGCATGCATGTTTGTGTGTGGGAAGTTCGTGAGGAGAAAACAAAATAGCAGGAAGTGCCATTGGAGGCAGGTTCTGAAAGTTTTGACTTGTTGTTTCTTCTTTTTTCAAACTCTGTTCCTCTCAAAAAGATGACCAAATAAAGCTGAAATTGCTATGAAACCTGATGACTGCAGTTGTTGAAAGAAAGCAAAATGTTGAAGTTCAGTATCTTGTTAGGTGTTATTAATTTAACTACTGGACCAAAAACCAACGGTGACTGGTTATATTTTATTTTGACGTCCAAAAATTAGGAATTTCTGCTGACTTGGGCTCAGTCTGCAACATATTGAAAGACTGTAAGAATTTTTTGAAGTGGTGTTTTAATAGTTTTGACATCCAATATTATATTTCAGTTCAGTTTTATAGTCACATTGTCGCTTTTTATCATGTGTCACATAACTATTTTAATTTCTTGTTACAAATATGTAAAAATCATAGTCATCAATGGAAACAGTTAATCCTGTTGATGATGAGTAATAATGCCTGTGAGCCAAGATCAGAACAACTGATCTTTAGTGGGACTGACCGCTGAACGTGACCGGAGATGTGAGTTTCAGCAGAGCAACATCTTGGTCATTGGTGTCACTGTTGTAGTTCTCATTGACAAGGATCCTCTCGATCAAGTAGGGCCGGGGTTGATCCATCAGAGACACAATACCAGCAAACACTCTCCAGTTTGAGGCAACGCGATATGCAGGGCTGCCACAGAAAAAGAGTGGAGTTTACTAGAAAGCAATAGAAGAGTACTGATTTGTTTAAAAGTAAAGAAGTGACTAACTCTAACCTTGGGAAGCAATGAGCAGCAGTCAAAACAAAGTCCTGTGAGATCAGAACGCCACCGCAGACGTGGGATCCTCGATATTGTAGTGACACCTGCCAAGGCCAGTCACCGGATTTAGCTGCTGTGCCCCCAATGATCCTGGATACCAACTGTCGCTTCCCGCAATCTGAGAGCAAGGTACATTTACAAAAGTTAAATCAACAACAAAAACAAAATACTACAAAGATTAGATAAGTTTTGTTCGAACAGAACTCACAGTTTATCTCATCCTTTTCACAATTTAAACCAACAAATATGCGTAAATATTTGTTTTAATTTGCATGATTTATTGATTCATAAATAATGAAAATATTCATTTATGTTCAAGCTCTAAAACACTGAGTAAAAATGTATTTAGCTGATATAAAGTTGCTGTCAGATCCAACATGTGCCTGCAAAAATTCAAAATACCATATGTATGAATAAATGTTGCATAATATATGCATGTTGAGCATTTTTGGCAAGAATCCCAATGGCATCAATTTCTGCTAATTTACCTGATTTTGTACCTTATTTTATATCCACAAGAGCATTTCAGATTCAAACATAGAATTTAATGTAACCGAGTAAGTTGCTGTTATATGAATCAAACTCTTTCTTGGTTTTACTGAGACAATTTAACAGTAGGAGCCATCAGTACAAGCTTCTGTGTGAACAGATGGAGGATTCTTACCCACACATTGCAGGGAGACAGTCTCCTGGTTTGCACAGGAAGAGCTGCATAGGGCAAAAAACAAGCTAGTTAACAAAAGCGATCACTCAACGACAGACTGCACATGATATGTACAGGCACATCTCAAAAAACCTGAAAACTGTGAAAATGTTTATTTTTTCTCGTGTTTTTTCTAAAAGATAAACTCATATATTACATCTACGTGGAATTATTTAAAATTCTTAGTTTCTTGTATTTTTGATGATTTGAAATAACGAAACTCCAATGTTAAGTGTCTCCAAAAATTGGGAAAAATATAAATATCATAATATATTCAAATTTTCCAACACACTGAATTGTGGGTTTCATTGTCTGTAAGCCACGATCATCATTTTGAGAAATAAATGCTTTAAATATTTCACTCTGTGTGTAATTGTATGATTTTTCATATTCTGAAACGAGTGATAAGAAACATTGAACTTTTTCACAATGTTGACTTTTTTGGAGACATACTGTACATGTTTGTTTTTTAGATGTACTTAGCTGTACCTGATGTTCACCGAACTTTGGATGAGAGGAGACGATGATGTGCCGGTCAGCTCTAAATTCATGGTACTCTGGAACTGACTAGGTTTACTTGAATAGGATCTGGAGACAGAGAGAAGAGTTATCCATAGAAGTGAGAAAAATAATCAGTTTCTTCCATCGATGCCTGATTGGGTCTGTCAAACAGAGACACCCCAGCGGTCTCTGAAGAGGATTAATTAAAACTTAAAGGCACGGTTTGGAGAAAAATGTGAGCTGAACGGCTGCTGTTTATACTAAAATCAGCACAAAAAAAATGCAGAGAATTAGCAAAGAGATTGTGAAGAAATAAAGTCGTTTATGAACTTCATTTTAGGTTTTGGATTTCGCAGAATTAATACATTTCAGGAAAATTCACATTTTAACCCTCCCACTGTCCTAATGGGTGACCCCACGAGGAAAATTGACCATTGAGCAGGATTGATGGTTTATCCCTTGGGGTCCACATGGCAGGGGTGAGGTGGTGCTCATTAGGACAGTGGGAGGGTTAAAGTGAATCATGGGACTATTTACTGTCTGAATCCAAGCTGGGCGCAGGTCTGGTCGGCATATTTCTTGTCCCAGTTGCTGTAACATACAGGGAGGAAGGGCCCATCACCAGGTGTCTTGACTTCAAGAACATTGTTCTCAATAAATCTCACTGATAAGACACAAAGACAAAAGACGAATAAGACTTTATCATTGTTCTGCCTTAAAATGTCTTGTTTTGAATGGAATAATTACAACCTCTCCTTTCGTTTTTAAATTTATTTTCAGTCCATCCATCCATCCATCCATCTTTCCATCCATTTTCTTCCGCTTATCCGGAGTCAGGTTGCGGGGACAGCAGCCTAAGTCGAGAGGCCCAGACTTCCCTCTCGCCAGCCAATTGGGCCAGCTCTTCCGGAGGAATCCCAAGGTGTTCCCTGGCCAGGTGAGAGACATAGTCCCTCCAACGTGTCCTGGGTCTCCCTTTGGGCCTCCTCCCAGTTGGACGTGCCCGGAAAACCTCACCAGGTGGGCGTTCAGGAGGGATCCTGACCAGATGCCCAAGCCACCTCAACTGGCTTCTCACAATATGGAAGAGCAGCGGGTCTACTCCAAGCCCCTCCCAGATGACCGAGCTTCTCACCCTATCTCTAAGGGAGAGCCCAGCCACTCTGCGAAGAAAACTCATTTCGGCTGCTTGTATCTGCAGTCTCATTCTTTGGGTCGTTACCTAAAGCTCGTGACCATAGGTGAGGGTAAGAACGTAAATTGACCGGTAAATCGAAAGCTTCACCTTCTGGCTCAGCTCTCTCTTCACCACAACTGGCACAACGCCCGCATCACTGCAGATGCAGCACAAATCCCCCTATCGATCTCACGCTCCAGCTTTCCCTCACTCGTGAACAAGACCCCGAGATACTTAAACTCCTCCACTTGGGGCAGGACCTCATCCCTGACCCAGAGAAGGTATTCTACCCTTTTCCAAATCAAGACCATGGTTTCAGATTTAGAAGAGCTTATTCTCATCCCAGCTGCTTCACACTCGGTTGCAAACCACTTCAGTGAAAGCTGAAAATCACGTTCTGATGAAGATTTTCAATCAATATGTTTTTTATTTTGAGATCATTCTTAAATTTGGTTTATTTTATTGGTTTAGCAATTTTCTTTGAAATTTTCATGTCGAGTTTTATGTTTCTAAGGTCATTCACCTCCAAACTGAAACTGAGGAGATCTCCAGATAGAAATACTCACCACAATTCATTTCATCTGTGCCCAGTTGGCACTCTTTGATACCGTCACACTGAGTAGCATTGATGGGACAGGTATCATACGTTGTCAAATGTGGATTTGCGATTTGTGGATTCTTGCTGTCTCCAGAGTAGTAAAAGCTTGAGTTTGCAGCTCTGATGCCATAGCGAACTGTGGATGAGGCAGAGTGATCGATAGCAAGGAAAAAATAGATATAAGAGGACAGAAATAATAATAATAATGGTAACACTTTAGTTTAGGGAACACAAATTAACCATTTATTAGCTGCCAATTAATACGCTTATTAGTGGACTACTAAGTCTGAATTGGTCATTATTAAGCTATTATTAGGTGCTTATTACCAGTTATGTAATTCTAACATTAACAGGCCATAAATTAAGTTTCATCAAGATAAGCCATTCATAATGGTTTGTTAAATGACAGTAAATGGTTTGTTGCTGATTAACACACATACTAAGTAGCTCAAATCAATATGTGGCTTTTAAAGAAGTAATTCAATAATAGTTAATAACCAAAAATATTATGTTCTGGTATTATGTACGAAAATAAACATCATACTCTGCATGTTAATAGAGCCTAAGCAACAGTCAATTAACCACTTGTAAGCAAGAATATGTTCTCCATTCTAAAGTCAGATTTTGTTCATACTTAATTACTAGTAGTTTAGTATTAATTAGCCACTTAAAAGCAAGAATATGTTCCCCTTGAACTTTGTTAAAAGCCACATATTGATTTGAGCTAATTAGCATGTTGCTAATCACCAACAAACCAGTTACTTTCACTTAACAAACCATTATAAATGGCTTATTATGATAAAACTCTTAATTTATGGCCTGTTAATGTTAGAATTACGGCATTAGTAATACGCTCTTAATAAGTGCTTAATAATGACTAGTTCAGACTTAGTAGTCTACTAATATGCATATTAATTGGCAGCTAATTAATGGTTATTATGTGTTCCCTAAACTAAAGTGTTACCATAATAATAATAATAATAATAATAACAATAATAATAATGTACATTTCAATTTGTGATTTTAGTTGCAAGCAGAAAATATAAAAGTGAGGAAGTAAAATACAGAAATAAGCAAACAAATAATACATTAACATTATTTTTGTATTTAATCAAAACACTGAATTTAAAGCAGAAATTAAAGGTTAATAAATTTTGCTGATCTTTTTAAATATTACCTCCAAGCCAGATGCCGACTCCCAGTAATGCCAGTACCAATATGGCTGCTGCTAACCCCTTGTAAACCTGCGCATTATTCTGACAGCATTTCTGTTTCTCTTTAGGGGCTGAGAAGCACAAACAAAACAAACAACAGACATAATATTCCTCTGGGGTTGCACATTTTCATTTGATGTTTTCTCAAACAAACGGCAGCAGGTTTGACTTACGTGGACCGACATTGGTGACCTGGGGGGGGACCACGGGTGGTGAATGCTGGGCGATGTATTGTGGGTGGTTGGGGATTTTCATGTGGGGGTCTGCACCATACACCACCCCGTTATAATAGTTGTTGGGGGGCTGGGTGTGAACAGCAACTGAGTAAGGAGGGGGGAGTGCATCCTGGAAGAAAAGACAATTAAGGGAAAAGTTAATACTGAATTATTATCAATATATCATTTGTTTTCATTAGACCGTTTTCCATTTTTTTCATTCTTTTTTTTTTCTTCCCATGACCTGTCTGGCTGTGAAGCAAAAAATATTTGTTTTTGGATGCTTTATAATTCCGACCAGGCACGGAGACAGAGGTGAAAGAGAAAGGAAGAGACAAAAGGGGGGCGTTCCACAAAAATAAACAATCATTGATGAACAAGAGTCTGCTTCTAGACCTGCAGAAAGAGAAAAACAAACAAAAGTAAAAACGGACACACAACATTATAACTAGAGCAAGCTATCACTGTATCAACCTAATGAGGAAATATAAAATCAACATTGTTTTACTGAACAATCACACAATAATAACTCACAGTGCATTTAGTGCCAACCACAGCCTTAAGACATGTCTTGAAAATGTACAAGTCCATACTTATGAGAGCACCGTTTTTTTTTTTCATTCTTAAAGAGACAACGAGTAGATTTTACCATTAATTTCTGGAAATATCCATCAAAATGTTGTTGAAAAGGAATGAAATGATGCCCAGTTGTTAAAAAATATTGGTGGTTTTGTAACATATAACCATAAAAAGCAGGTCTAAAACACATGAGAGCGGGACTAAGTCTCTGGAAGATATTAGATACCATGTTTACTTCTACGGGAGCCCATGAGGACAAAATGTATTTACTGATTTGTAACAAACAATTACAAAACCTTCGCCATTCTTAAATGTTGTTATTTTACACATTTACCTCTTGACTTGTTGCCAGAGATGAAAGGGAATCTGATGCTCTTGTTATTTTGCTGAATTTTGTGCTCCACAGGGCTTTTTGTCCCTAATGGGCATCCTTTGGTAAGGTCTTACTCCACCACAAAAAAAAATGCTTGCTTGCAACGATTTAGGTATATACTGACCCTATTGCTAGGAAAAAACACACTGTCACTTTAATCTTTGATATTAAAACATATTTATTAAATAATAAGACATTAGTTAAACGATAGTCAAAGGGTTATTAATGTATTGTTATTAACTTATTGTTAATAGTTTACGTCCACACCACAGTAACAAGCTCAAAGGCACAAATTGGTATCTTGGAAACTGTACTGAAAAAATCTGATCAAAGATTTCATTTAGCATGTTTCTGTTCTATTTTCTCAGTTTTGTTTGGCTGTTTTTAATTTTTTGAATTGATGACAAAGGGGTTAATCGATGTTTGAATTTTGGTAGAAAAGTATGTTGTCATAAAAAAGCGATAAGGAGCTATTGAATCTGAGGTTTAGGGAGGATGAACAAAACTTTTCCTGGGAATTAATTTTAGTAAGTAATTACATGAAAAGATCCTTCAGATTCTTTTGTTAGTAAAAACAAAATTTGTGCCTTCGTCAAATGTTACTTCCTGTTTCCATGAAGATGGTTGAAGTTTAACTATCTTGTCCTGAAAAATAAAAGTTAATAAAAAGCCAAAGGATTGGCTAACAAACTGATATGTTTGTTTGTTTTTTATGAGTAAAGTATTGATGTAAATGTCAGTCATCACAAATATTATACACAAATTTCAAACACTTCATTAAAATGACTTCTATTCGTAACAGTGTTTCGTGTACTTTGGCACTTTAATGAAAACATCCAAAAGCTGTTGTCTGCATATTTTCTCTAAGAAGGTTAATTATTGCTTTTATTCATCACAAGTGGAGTAAATGTGTTACCGATGGCAGCACTTATTTTAAATAAAAAAAATAAAATGTAAAACTGAGCATAATGACAAGAAAATCAACCCACAAGCAGATCACTAATGCCCTTGTTAATTATCACTTGTTCCCAGAAATGTGTGCCTAACAGTAGATTTATATTAACACATTTTATCACAAAGTCTCTGGGATTTAATAAAATCAGGTCACGAATAAAGGTAAACACAGCCTTCTCATTAAAAGGCAAAGCTCACACTGAAATGTAACCAAACTTGTCTGAATGCTATTTTTGTTGAGACATTTCCTTGTTGTATGTTCTGTATTCTGGAGAGTAATAAAATGTGGCGGAACAGGTTTTTAAATACTTCATGTTCCTTTCTGTAAGCATTCAAATAATTCTCAAAGTTTTATTAAAGAAAGTTTTCAATTTAAACAGCTTCAGTTTCAAACTATTTTCAGGTTACTCCCCAGGTTAAGGAGTCAGGTAGCTGAAAGGGAATAGGTGGCAGTTTGTCAGTTTTTCTGGCAGAGTGTACAGTCCATTATCATGTTACAGGTCTTTATTGTGAATACATGTCAGAAAATATCAGCTGTACCTGTTTGTGTACAAAAACCAAATGACGTGTTGGTAACAACTTGGGACTGAGGCTGTGAAACTAGAGTTCTGCTTTGTGTTTGGTTTCGGTTCTTGCATCAGTGAATCGTCAGTTTGAGAATATAGATTTCAATGCTGTGTTCTTCCATGTTTATAGTCATTTATCAATCTTACTAAGGTAAATAGAAACTCTGCATGAACTCTACCTTTCAAAAATGGCTGTGTGCATAACTTATTGTATATTATACAAAATAAAAATAAGTTCTCCTTTGTGTATGGTGCATAGTTTTACATGGACAGGTTTACTTTTTTAGATCCATGATTTGTACAAATGGGTCAACTAGTCTTTCTTTTAGACGTGCGCAAAAGTCAATGAGATGAGGAGAAAACACTTTTTATTGCAATTTTCTTTAAATGCTATGGTTTTGCTCAATCAGACTACTTTCTTTACCTTTCTGAGGGCCTCTTAAGCTTTTTTATCTCCAACAAAGTACACAGAAACTCAGACTGCAGCAAAGAATGTATGGAAATAACTTCCTAACACTCATTAACAACGGGGCTTTAATCATAAACTGGAGGAATGTTAAAGTAAGACAAGAAAACAGTCCCAGACATAGATTATATTAACGAATGTTGTGTTAAAAGTCATAAGTTTTTAAACCTACCTGACCATTCTTTGCCATTGGAACCAGTGGACAGCGAGAGTAAGTGGGTGGAGCCTTTTCACATCCAGGTAAACTCGCAGAGCAGCAGTCAGAACTCAGTGGTCAAACATCTCTTTCCTCTCTTTTCTTTCTCATTTTCTCTGTTTGACTTCCTTAAGCCCTCCCACCGCAGGCCTCCATCATATCTCTGCGGTTCACTCTTCTGTTCCCAGTAATGGGCGTGCCTAAAGCAACAGCGTCCCACCTGTCTGACAAGTTTTAGGCTACCAGACTTGTTCATAGGTAGTTCCGCGCTGTGACGCTCATTGAAATGTAACCACCAGGCGCCAGTCTGAAGTTTGAATATGAAGTGGGCTATGTTGGGAATTCTTCTCTTCCATAAACATTAAATAATTAAAAAAAATAGAAAATGACACATCTTCATATACATTTACTTTATAAGAATTTCCCATTGAACCCATCAGTTTTAGTTTGTAAAAAAAAATTGTATCATGTCATAGTTTATTCAGTGCCATGTAACAAACATGTTGTCATTAATAGCTGGATGAAACAAATCAGCTGATGCAAACAGGGAAGGCCAAAAATATTAGCAATGCAAATGATGAAATAATAATTCATTTTAAATGCCAAGTTAAATAGCTGGGCATTATTTGAAATTATAACGCAAATGTAACCATTCACTTAAGCAGCAAGAAACACTTTATATCTTGGTGATTTTATTGATAAAAGACAAATTAATTTAATCTCACTTCCTGCTCTTATCCAGGACGGACGCTTTCTTCTCACCCTCCTCCCCAGTCCTCCCCTGTCCTTGCCTGCTCTTTTCCTGTCAGTCTATCTGGAGTGTCTCTCTGCATTTGCTGCTGTATTTTTCAACCATGGATGTGGTCAGCTGGTCTCTATTTGATCAAATTTTCTCCACCCAAAGAATGGCCAATGGAGAACCCTCCTGCCCTGACAGAACACACTCAGTTGGTAATGGGATGGATTCCTGGGGCAAGTTGAAAATCATGTGTCTGTCACTATATACAAAACAGTGTAGGTACTGATTAGAGATCAGTTCAGGTACAAACACAACACAGGGTCATTTGACTGAAACCAAGCGACTGGTCCTGTATGGAGGGGAGTTTGCAGCCAATGACTTTCTCAGCAGAGCGTACAACACTCTGCAGATTCTTCTTGTCCCTGATGGTAGCTCCAGCATACCAGAAGGTGATTGAAGAAGTGAGGATGGACTTGGTTACTGTGGTGTAGAACTGCCTCATCCACTGTATTGATAGGTTCATTTTGTTCAGCTGCCTTAGGAAGTACATCATCTGCTGGGCTTTTTTAATGACAGGTGATGGTGGGCTCCCACTTGAGGTCTTGGGCAATGGTGTTGCCCAGGAAGCAACACGAGTCCACCTTGATGACTGAAGTGTCAGACAGGGTTATTGGGAGAGTGGGGCTGTGTGCTTCCTAAAGTCCACAACAACCTCTGCTGTCTTCTGAGTGTTTAGCACCAGGCTGTTGTGGCTGCTCCAGGACACCAGCCATTCAACCTCCATTCAGTAGGCTGACTCATCAGCTGACTCATCAGAGATGAGTCCGATGATGGTGGTGTCATCTGCAAACTTGATCAGCTTGACAGACTCCTGGTTGGAGGTGCAGCTGTTGGTGTACAGGGAGAAGAGCAGAGGGGAGAGAACACAGCCATGAGGGGAACTGGTGCTGATGGTCTGCAGGTCACAGACATTCTTCCCCAGCCTCACTTGTTGCTTCCTGTCTGTCAGGAAGTCAGAGATCCACCTGCAGATGAGGTCAGGCACATTCATTTGGGACAGTTTGTCTTGGAGGAGGTCATTGAGGATTGTGTTGAAGGCAGAGCTGAAGTCCACGAAGAGGATCCTGGTATAGTATACTCGGGGAGTCCACATGCTGCAGGATGAAGTGTAGAGCCATGTTGATGGCATCATCTACAGACCTGTTGGCTCTGTAGGAAAACTGCAGTGGGTCCAGGAGGGGAGGCTGTGAGGGTCTTGAGGTGGGGGAGAACCAGGTGCTCAAACACCTAATTTGGACTTCTGAAAATGTGTTAACAAATTCAACAAAACTAAAAAATAAAAATAAAAAAAAACTTGGTCAGGCATTAGATGAAGTAATGAGAATCTGTCAAAAGCCAGATGTGGTTTCTTCATAAAACAAAGAGGAAATGTGTCTCAGAGTTAACACGTTCTTTATATATTAAGAAAACAGCCTAATAATTACCTCAAAATAAATAAATGACACTGACTTAATCTCTACACTTCAATGTTTTCACCCAGAGCTCTGAAGTTTAAAAGAGAAAAACTCAACAGCCTCAATGTTTAAGTCTTCATAATGTGTGACAGGATCCATCCCAGAGCCCTGGGTGGATAATAGGGTGGGGGTTCATTAGATTTGAGTTAGCATTAGATTTTGTTTTAGTGACATGTAAAACAAGTGAAAGTACATTATAGAACTCTAGTTGAGCAAGAGCTAGTAATTCAATAATAACCTTGCATGATTTTCAAAGATCAGGTTTACTCATGACAGATCATTTGCTGCTGTGTCCCCCAGACTCTGGAACCCTCCCCCCCTGAGCCTGAGATCAGTGGACTCAGTGGTCTCCTTCAAAGAGCAGCTCACCTGTTCAGGCTGGTTTTGGTGTGACCTTCATCACTCACCCCTTGTTCTGCTCTCCCTACCTATTCCACCTTCCTCAGGATCCACTGATTTCCGTCTTTCCTTTTCACTCTCTCTCTTTCTTTACATTTTTAATCACAATTGTCTATTTGTTGCTCATTTTAAATATATTTTTAATCATTTTCGAACATCTTTTTTATATTTTACTTATTTTGGTTTTTTTAAGTGCCTCGTGATTTTTATCTTGAGAGGCGCTATAGAAAAGATCTTTTCTTCTTCATCATCATAATTTTTAAACAATTGCCGTGGTCTCTATTCAGAATAAATGCCTTGTAAGTCATTCTCTGGAGATAAAGAAGCTCAGATGGTCCTGTCTGAGGGTGTGGAATTCTGCTGGAGGAGAAAGTGCCAACAAACAGCAACTTTGGAGTTTTATTTCCTGATCCCCTTCCTATTTCTGACTCAGTTCGTTCTGCAAACAACACAAGACCGAAGGAGTTCTGTATTGTTGTGGAGATAATGCTAACTGTTAGTTTCAACTAGCCAAGCCGTGCTCTGCTCTCCTCACAGTTGAAGTGTACCTAGGATGAAAAATACAGACCTCTTTGGTACACGTTTGTCCCCCTGTAAAGATTCATACAGCAAATCAGTTCCAACTTTCTTTCTTTTATTTTATTTATGTCACGTCTGCCATTTGTGATAACAATCAGGTAAATAGTCACATTTGTGACCCTCCAAGGCATTTTTGTGCAAAAGATAAAAGGTGTTACAAAAGTTAAAGGATGTGGTGTTTGTTTTATCTAATCGGGGGTATATTTGGTTACACTAATGACATTGCTCTTTTGTAGTCCTGAAGCTAAAATGTTTTGGAACCATTGGTGTAATGCACCCTAAACCACCACTAGAGGATGACACTAGACCGGGGAGGAGGCAATTATTATTATTTTTTTTTTTTACAAGGGGCCACATGAGAAACCGGAGTTGTGTCAGAGGGCCACATCAACAACAACTTAAACCTAAGTATGCTCAAATTTCTTCCATTGTAAAATTCACTCAATTATAGATCACAAATAGCTGGTGTAATGAATTGAGATTGGGGGGTTAAATTATGACCAATAAGATATGATGGTTCTATATAAATATGAAATATCAACCCGATTGATCTTTGAATGTTTAACCAGAAGAATTTAGGATTCTTTGCTTATTCAATGACCGTTAACACATTTTGTATTAATTCAGACAGAGTCAAGTATATACTTAAAAATAAACTTTATTTTCTAGACCAATTATAATACATGACAAGCTATGAATAATGATATGTGATGAGTGCATGGTGATGTGTGATTCTGGTGTAAAGTAGATGTATATCAGAGCCTTTGTATCTGGAAGAAACTGAGTTCTGGGTGTAAAAGAATTTGGTCTGCTATGAACTAGAGAGTTGATTATTAATAAAACAACATCAGGCGCAATTGGTTGTGTCTACAAACCCTTGGAGACCTCCGTTGTAGATCCGGAATGTCAAGAAATCTGGTGGACCCCAAGGCACCTAAGCTCATAGAAAAACCGCAGCACCGCTAGACTGGCCTTGAGTTGTCTCCAGGTCACAACAGGCATGAAGGTTGGTTGCGTCTAAGAAGGATGGACTCTGAAGGAGTCGTTTGCTGTGTCAGCTGCAGGCAGGCTTTGACGGCTTGTCAAAAGCTTTGATGGTTCAAAGATTTTCCTCCGGATTGGCCACTCCGAAGTTCTGCTCAAAACTCAAACTTAACTGAGTAACTCGGCAGTCACTCTAGTTTTAACAATCTACTTCACTGATTTAGGCACAGATTATCCAAACATTAATATTAATATATCATCTGGTTCATTCAAATACATGATTAGTTAATGATTATTTAACGTATGAGTTGTAAAAGTTCACTTTTCAGAGTGTGGAATCCTGCAGTCTTATCAGAAGAAAGCTTTGTTTGGAGACGCAGGTTTGACAATCTTGTCCTCCTGGAGTGTCAAGCCCTGCAGTGTCTTCTGGCTTGTTGAAGATAGAGTTTAAAATCTGCTTAGGGAATGGAATTATATCTGTAGATGACCGGTCACTCTGTGGACAATAGGTAGGTGAAAATTGACCCTTTCTGGACATTACACTGGTATAGGTAATTAGAAGAATAAAACTTAAATAAAATTCGGTAAATATTGATAGTGGACTATGGTGCTATGCTATGTGAAATTGTGGTGCATACGTCAAGTAAACAACAACCACTGAATCAGTGTAATTTAATTTTACCTTGTTTAAAACAGCAAACAAGAAGTTTATAAAATGCAACAGTGCAATGACTTGTCACATTTTCATCCTTTTCAATGAGAATAATCCGGCCTGTTCTGGGTTTGAACAAGGGCACTGAAATCTGGCTGGACGTCTGAGGTGGCTATGCGGAGAACAGCTGAGAGGCCGTCATCGGTGATGGAGGATCTGTGTTTGGATTTGTTGAACTCCAT